GTGCTTTTTGTTTTTTTGCCAAATGTAACATGAAAGCAGATACTGCGGCTTTAGTCAGTTATTCTGATTTAGTAAAAAAATTTTTACTTCTATGGCTTGCTTTCTAAGCTTTTGTGAATTTTATTTCTAAAGTTTTTATGCAGTTGAAATATAGGAAGAATATAGTGATAAATGTGAAGAGCTTGCATTGAAAAACAAAATGTAATAAGGAATAAGTATAGAATACAGTTGGTAAAGAATTTTGTAGAGAGGATAATGAGATTACTGAAAAACAGGAACCAATAGGTTTATCATCTTTCAAAATGTTGCTTTCCTTTTAAATGGAAGTTCTAAACATTTATGATTCTTTTTCGGCTTCAGTTCTCCCATGGGAAATAAAGCATGTACACGGATATTTCAAGTTTCAGAGGACTGTTCTTAAAATGACCATGTTGGTAACTGGTTTGGGCTGTTTTGTTTTAGAAACATGTTCATGAAGGAGAGGAATCATGCAAAGTAGTTGAATTGCTTTGTCTGACATCCCACAGGCTTAAAGGAATGGTGATCACTCTGGATGCTTCTGTAGTTCAGACTCTTAATTCATTAAAAACAAACGAAAATCAAATAATAAAAAGACAGTGTAGGTACGTAGGAATTGGGACCAGTTCTCTGAACCTGGAGATCTACTCTGATACTTGGTCCGTTGTGTGGCCCCCAGTAACTCGTGACTGTGGGAAACCGTGGGAGCATGACCTCTGTTGGTATACCATAAAGGTTTGGGCCTTTCATATGCCTGTCACATAGATATGTATATGTTTTTTCCTTTTGTAGGTAACTACTATAATTGATGTATAGTGAAAGGGACATGAATTTAAAACTGGATAGGACACTTTGTGTGGCTGATAGGAAAAGGCAGAGTATGAACGATAGTAAGGGTTCAGGCCCACGTCTGTAGCCCTGGATGTCATACAAGAGTTTTAAGTTCAAGCTTTTTCACTGGCCCTGAAAGAACTGTATAACCACAGGCAGACACAAAAGGGCTCTGTGCCTCAGAATCCCCGGCTCTCAAGTAGGAATAAGCAAGGTTTACTCTGTACCTCACAGGATCATTGTGAGGGAAACTACAGCATAACCGCAAAAGTGTCTGAATAGTAAAAAGCTATTCAAATAAAAGATCTGACATACATGGGTGATGAGAACATTTTCGAGGGTAGAAAAGCTATTCCACTTTTAAAACCAATAGCCAATTCTCATTTTTGGTATTTTATTAAGTAAATATTAGGAAACTAAATACTTTCATGGCCAAGTTTATAACAAAAATATATCTGTGTATACCCCCCCTTTTTTGTTTATTTAAGCATGCTTGCGTTTTAGAAGAACACTGCTATAGAAACCTTTATACACAAAATTCTCTGAACGCTAAAATGTTCTGTAACGTATGCTTGGAACAATAGGCCCAATGTAATAACCAACTTTCATCTTATTATAAAAAGTAACTTACCATTGATAACCTGGAAGGTGGGGTGTCTGTAAGTGGCTGGTGGTTGTGGACCACAGACATCCAGGCATGCCGCTGAAACATGCATTTGAAAGAGCTGTAGAAATAACGCAAAACTTTGGTTTCATAAAAACCTACTCATGTTTTAAAAGTATTTAACTCTGTAGAACCACAGTTATGGAAAGCTCAGTAATGCTGCTAATTATATTTGTAAAATGTACCTTTAATGTAGTGCAATATTTTTATATATATTGGGAGAAGCAGTAGAGGCATCGCAGTTGTACTTTAGTGCAGGGGGAGCAGTCCAAATAGCCTAGGGGGAATGGTAAGGTCTAAGGCTTCAATGACAATGGTTGTATTCTATTACATTACTGATGTAATCTTGCTGCCATGCTATGTTATCAATAGCTAAAAAATAATAAATAAAAACTACCACAGAAAACCAGAATATCTTCATTTGATAACATCTGAAAAAGGTGACGGCTACGTATCTGTGGGATTATTGCCTGGTATAATTGGCCATGCAGTTAACAAAGTCCATTTTTGGTAAACAAAATTGCTATTTTGAAAATTGTCTAAAAGCATTAAATTTTGATTTTACTGTTGTGTAAGCTTTGAAATACCAGCTCTATGGATTTGCTGCTGTGATTACTAAATAGACTATTTAAAGTATATTGTTACATTGGTATTTGATGGTCGGGTTAGACAGCCAAGCTGAGCAACATTTTAGCAGTTTCTGGAATCAGAATTAATATGCTACATTTTTTATGTCAAGCCTTATATTCTTCAATATCAGGACTAGTTGAATACTATGTGGCCATTTGTGATTTTGAAAAAAGAAAACACAAGGTAAAATTTTGAGGGTACTACTATCAAGTTCCAAATTTAAGTATATCTGAAATTTTTGAAAGACAGTTTGAAAATATTTGGCTCTTACTAATATTAAGATGATAAAATCTTAAGACCCCCTAAAAGTACATAAAATCACGTTAATTTAAAAATGTATTGTCTTTTTTTCTGAATTGAGAGAGGAGCTTTTTAAAAAGGGGGCGGGGAGGTTGCCCAAATCCTTTTAAAGCCATGGATCCCCTTTAAGATCTGAGTAAACTCTGGCCTCTCACCCCTAAAAGGTGCACACACATACACCCTAAGGTTTACGGGCTTCCAGGGGCACAGGGGCCCACTGCGTCAAATGGCTGCATAGTCATTTGCATCAGATATGTTTGCTCACAGCAATCAGGAAAATAATACAGCTTTAGAGATGCAAGAATAACTTACTGAGTTTTTCCACATTGACAACATGTGACTAGTTACATATTTCAATTTAAAATACGTTTCAAAGCCAAAATGTATGGTTTAAACTAACCTGGAGTAGATTTTACCTGAGGCCTGCAAGCAGAGAACAGTTTTTAATTAAATATCCACAATCAAAACAATACCTTCTTATGTATTTGATTCCAATGATAATGTCTGATTTATAAAGGAATACAAACAGGCGCAGTAATGTTCAGAAGGTTTATTAAGTAAACTAGCTAAAACGATGTACACATACACTTAGCAGTCCAAAGAAAGAAGTGAATACTCATTGCTACCTCATTAAGGTTTCTGTATCTGTATGCCAGGTATAAACATAAAAACCACCCCTGCTCAAAAAGGAACTGTTCAGAGCGATGTATGTCCTGTGTTCTGACACACATTAAAAATAAAAACTCTCTCTTTTCAGTCTTGCTAACCCCAGAATATTTAGTCATATAAAAGACCTTACATTTTTCCCCCCCGCTCAGATACGACTGATGCCTTTTGCTCCCAAAACAGTCTGAAACACTCAACATATCTTTGGTTATCTCTAGGGATCAGTAGCAGGCATGCCTTTGCCAGTCGTTCTTGAAAAGACTGAATCATTAAAGGCAAAAATAAAATAGGGATAAATTGTATGGGATTAGGGCAGGAGGAACCGCAGACCGTGTAAGAGTAGATTTGTAGCACATTCTTTTCTAAGCTCTCCCCTGTGGAAGCAGAGAGCACCTCCACAGCCCTCCCCCTGTGGCAGCGGACTTGGGTAAGTTGCCTAATGCAGATCCGTGAGTAGGCAGCGCACTCCAACACACTGCCCTTGACCACCAGACCTCACGTCATTCAAAGCCCCACAGAAAAGCTTCATAAAGCACAAACGGAAATGAAGTATTAGCTAACTTTCCTAGAGAATTTAAATAAATGGTTGAAGAACCCTCATTCTCAAGTTCTTTGCTTTTTTGAAATTTGCTTTTTTGTTGTCCAAGTTAACAGAAACACAATTTTAACTTAACTGACATTAGGTCATTTTTGTTTACAATTACAGGACTACAGAATTAACAGGTATTATTTGAGACATTTCGCACTATCTTCACACTCGAGTCACATCTTACACAAAACCTGATGGAAACTGACAATGTTCACTAACTATTTGCTGTTACACTGAAAAGGCACATCAACGTCATGCTTAGAAAAATGACTACACAGCACTAGATGATACAGTAAAACAGATGTTTTTGGATGTTTGGGTTTTTTTGCCTGTGAAAGGGGGTGTGTCCTGACCACCCTATTATTTTTACCTGTTTTCCTAATGTGATGCAAGAGAATTTCATTCCTTCTTTATCTTCATTTAAAATTTGTCACACTGATGTGAACAACTTTCAGAAGTCTAGAAAATAATAGTTTTCAGACAACTCAAAATTAATCCCTAGAAAACACTTGGATGACCTCCAAACAGGTCAAGGATATTATAGCCTGATTTTTTTTCATGTCATACCAGTTAGTAGCCTTCTGAATTTCTAAAACTTGAACTAGATATTGATACACCCTACTGTACTTAAACAACCTTGATAGTATAAGGTACATCTCTCCTCAATTTTCTTTCATCCAGTAAGAAATCAAGTATACATCTTAAAGGGAAAACTTCTACTTGTTCATAACTATACATTTGGATGTTTTTCTTGGCTTTCAGAACATATTACTATTTTCCCCTTACTGGCTTTAATGTTTGCTGCCAACCACACGACATGTAAATAATTTACAACCATCTGTTTCCAGGTAGATGATAACATACAGATAATTAATGCCAGCTAAGAGTTATGGATAAATCCAAAAGAGAACTGACTCAAGTTCTTGTCCTCTGCATTTGAGATAGCTAGCTTTTAACTCAAATATACTGATAACAATTACAAGCTGAATAACTCAATGCTCAGTGTCACTACATAACACATGCTGTCACTTGATACTGTTTTTCAGACTTCCTTCTAGTTACTTACGGTTAGAAGTGTCTCAGAGATAATGTGTGCTTTAGTTTTAAACACTCATTACCAATACTCAGAAAAAATATAAGATTTTTTTGCCCAAGTGTTTGTGAATGTAAGTTAAAAAATTATTTGATTTGGATTCAAATATAGATTTACACTATATCTGTTTCGTCAAAATATATTGTATATTTAATAAAATCAAATACATAAAATAAAGTTTTCAACACTTTATACAAACGCCTAGAAAAGCTGCTTTTTCTTTTTATAAGGCTGTTGGCAATCGACCATAACCACGGAAAAGAAATAATAACCTTTGGTTGTTTTACTCTTTCATCAGGGATGAATGGTAATGACTAAGACAGTTCTGGATGAGTCATTTCACTGGAAACACTTTTATACAATTAAATACTTGGATGACTTTTGAGGGTCTCAGTCACTTTCAGATTCTTCATCACCTAACGGATACGACTTGACATTATTCTGAGTGTACATTTTTGTTTTAATAGGGCAGTTGTGATCCATGAGAATAGCCTAAAAGAGAGCAAAGTACAGATATATTAACTTCCTGTTTCATAAAGATAACATGGTTTTAACCTACCGTTTTTAAGGATTACTAGTTTGAAAGCTATATGTATAGTATTAACCAGTCGTATGGGGCAACTGCCAGGTGCCTGGCCCAGAAAACCTGGAGTTCTACACTCAGTGAAAATTTCAGGCAATAGGACCCCGAAGCAGCAGTCTCCCCAGTATTTTCATTATACCTGCCAGGGGCCCTACATCGATTCCAGGGAGCCCACAAGCTATGAAGAAGGGCATATGCAGATTAGGTTTAGGAAGAGTTAGAATCTTGGAATTGCGGGCAGCGGTTCTTGGAGGTCACCCAATCCGGCTTCTGTTCACAAACATCACTATGGCAACATCTTAGTAAAGACATGCTCTCTCCTTCATGAGGCGAGCGCTCCTGTTAGAAATGTCCCTGAACCTGTCTCCATCGTTTCCGTTTATGGGTCCGGTTCTGGCAACAGCCATCTTTACAGACTCTGCCTTTACAGGATTTTGAGACCATTGCCATATCCCCATAAATTTCCCTAGACCAATAGCGCAGGGCCCTTATCTTCCTAAAGGGCACTTCCAGAGCGTCTGTCCCCAATTCCTGGCAGCCCTCCTCTTGCTCAAATGTATGATTTAAAAAATTAAAAAATACATTCCTTTTATGAACATAAAAATCTTGTGCACTCCCATATTGTTACTGGAAATTAAACAAAAGTCCACTGATCAGCCCTCAAGTCATTATTCCTCCTGTAAGTGTACAAACCAAGCGTGAAGTCAGATACCATAGCTGACGTTGATCATGCTGAGCATTTTCAGTGCGATACCTCAACAGTAACCCCTATGTGGTAGGCTGCTAACCCTCCTTGTGGGCACAGAGGTTAAACAACAACCGAGGGACATACAGCTAGAAGGGGGCGCAGACAGGTGAGCCCAGGCAGCCATCCGACAAAGTCTGCTCCTGGGCGGCACCCCACGGTACAGTCAGTGCCAAGGACGGCAGGGGGACACTGAGGACAACTAAAGAATTCTCTCATCAGGTTACGCCTTTTGGAGTTTTCTGCCACATGAACTATTCCCCCAATACCTGTTTGTGCAGTCTGAAAATCTAAATGGAAACATTTATGTGGATTTAAATTGATCTTGTACTGGCCTACTGCAGCCTTCCTTGGTGTTTGTCGGCGAGTCCTCCCCCAGTGCTTGTCCCACAGATTTGATAAGCTGCTGTGACTTCACTCAGTGTTTAACCCATTTATCATTTCTCAAGAAATTCTAAAGTGATCTGCCTGTGTGTCATGTTAAGATAAGCACTTCCCTGCCCCTCGAAGGCTGCCAGCTCGAACTGTCAGCTGCAAATTTAACTCCCATTTTTTTTATGCTTCTTTCCAAGTCAATTGATACATATATTTAATAAAGAGCTCAATTTCTAAAAATAAGTAATTGAGGCTACAGACACTGTATACGAGGACCACAAAAGGCTTAACCCCCAAAGAGCTCAAGGCCTCATCTCCCCAGATCAATGATCCTCAAAGAAGTGTGCCCAAGAATCACTTGAGGGAAGGCAGGTTAAAGATGAAATTCCAGGTCCCTGTCCTCACGAGAGGGGTGTCGACGTGCTGCAAAAACACTGCCCTAGTTACGTGGCAGCATCTGGGGCTATGGCAGAGTCACAGCTGACAACAGCTTCGTGGGGACCTTCTCAGTACATATGTCAGCGCCCCGAAGGTCCCATGCCAGCAACCTGGTGACCTCACTGCACGAGGCATGCCAAGCTCCACGGGGGCTCACTGGGTAAGTGCTCAGGGGAGGCTGTACAGAAGAGATGAGGTTCAAGTTGAACCTTAACCGATGAAAAGAATTTGCACCATGAGGGAATGGGCACAGCATGGACTATTTACCAAACGGGACATTAAGTAAAACAGGGACACTAAATAAACCACCCTGTCACTATAGAGATTTGATGATGAACCACAGAGGGACATTAACTGGAAAGCCCGATCGGGGCCAGACTGCAGGGCCTTGGGTGCCAGGCATGGGGCCGTGACCCTCGTCCCACAGGCAGCGAGGTCGCCTTGGAAAGGATGGCCATCATGCCTTCACCTCTTACTTCACCAACGTCAGACCTGACTGCACACATACGCAGACTTCTTAAGGACGCCCAGGGCCTCGCACGGGGTGCACAAACTGCATTGCCAGGGAAGAAGTTCAATCAGACCCGTTACTTGACATCACACAGATTGAAATGGTCAGAATTGATCAAGTCAGCCAAACCGCACTTGTTACACAGCCTATTTCAGGTAAAGAAGTCGTCTTCCTTGAAATGTCGTCTCCGGCTGTTAAAACCTAGCTTACTGGCTTCTGAACTTGGTTTGAACGATGTATTTGTGCGACGGTTTTGCTTGGTAAGAAAGTTATACAAGCTTCAATAAGCCAGATGGCATGTACTATTCCAAAAGCACCATGAAAAGAGGGGCATGGACAGGGTCGGGGGTAAGTCAAGTGCGTGAGGGACCCCACAGAGCGGCTGTGAGCAGCCTGGTCAATTCAGCCAGCACTCTGAGCACTGCCGTGGGGAGAAAGGTGGATGTGACTCCACTGAAGAGCAAACAGGAAGGCAGAGGCTGCTGGGATTCAGGGCAAAGCCCCGTTACAGAGAGTTGAGCCCTAGTCCCCGCCGTACTCCAGAGTGGTAAAAACACGTTAGACCAAACACAGTGTAAAAGTAACACGAATACAAAGCTGGGAGAGTGAAACAGTAAAAGCATTAAATGTAAGAGTCCTCAAGACTTGGAAAAACACCAGGCCTGCATCCTAGAGAAGTTTTTCCTACCACATCTAAAAAATAAAAAATAAAAAAAACATAGTGATGGTTTTGCAGCCATTACGGCTGCCCTGCAAAGGGACACCTTTCTTTAACTAGGTTATAATACGCAGTCTCCTTAGCTTCCGGCTGCCCCATCCTTGCCCGACTCATGGCATCGAGGCAACGGCTGGAAGGACCCTCAGAGAGCTCAGAGCCACCCAGGAAAACAAAGCTGCCGTCCTCAAACCACCTACTTCCTGTCTGGGAAACAATCAGAAACTTCAAGAGTTAAGATGTAAGAAATATGCCCTATCTTTAAAAATAATTCTTCAACCTGAAAAAAAAAATCCATAGCAGAACACAGCCATCCTCAACTGGGTGTTCTGAGCACCACAAGCTGCCATGTTAATTCTCTCACAACTGGAGCACAGTTCTCCTCAAATGACAGGGTTGCTATTTCTTATACTTGCTGAGATGCTTGAGTAACACCTGAGGGGTTTTTTTTCCCTCCACCTGAATTGATAACTCAACACTAATTTTAAAAAAACAAAAAACAAAAAACAGAAAAACCATAAATCCTGTAAACAAATGGAAGAAAACTCCAAGTGCTCACAAACTGGTTTATGAATTGGGATCCACGAAAATAGCATTAGACCTTTCGATATAAAACAGCTTAGGTGCACACCATAGCATCAGAACGCTGCCTAATGACGGGATTATTTGCTCAGATCTGAACACTTTATTCCAGCTCTCACATCCCCTTACATTTGATAACGCTGGTCCCCAGCACTGACACTGGTCTGTATTGGATTTCCGCAAATGGGCCGTAATCAATTCTCTCCCCTCCGTGGCACGCACTGTCTTGCTCTCAGCCCCCCTTATCATTAGGTGCTATCGGCTGCCACCAGTTTCTTCCTGCTCTGCTTGCACAATGAGTTGGCAGCAGCTGTCGGCCGTCACCCTCAAATGTTGCCTTCAACGGCGGGCAGAGGGCATCAGTCACGAGCAGTGAGATGCGCGTTTTCTCCAGTTTTTAATGATTCATCTTGCTCGGCACTTATGAAGGAGTCTGACATTTTACAAGGAAAGCGGCTTTCTGGAAGCCTGTAATTTTTGTTGTTTTGCCTTTCAGGATTCTCTCTTCCACTTCCTTCAGCATTTTGCTTCTTCGATGAACTAAAACATTGGTTTAAATGTGGAAAGAGAAGCGGTGCTGAGGCCAGCCTCCCAGCCGCTGCCATCATTTTGTGGGTCACAGAGCAGTAACTGGCTGGGCAGTGTACCCCTCACCCACCCTCTCCCATCCTCTGATCTCACCCATTTCCTCCAATACCTCAGATAAGCCATCGTGCTGCTGGGAACAAACAGATAACACAACAGCCACTAACGTCTGCTGCCTTGGTGAGAGAAACCCATTCAGCTGTTCTGGGGCCTGAATAGCAAAAGCAGAAGGAAGCTCTCACCTCACGGAAGAAAGGGAGGGGATGGGGGCACTGCTGGGCTGACAGACAGGGTCAGAGTCAGAGTTAAGTACAAGCAAGAAAGAAGAGTGGGGCATGTTGGAAAGCATAACACTCTTACTGAACACATTACTGAGTGCCAGAAATGGGCTAAGCACTCTGTTGGGGTTCATTCATGTAATCCCCACAACAACCCTATGAGGTGGCTGCTACCATTTCCCCATGTGACAAACCTGCTCCAGGGCCCGTGCTAGCCAGTCACTATGTCCCCCAGAGTCTTCAACAGTCTCCTGGGTGACAGAAGCATTTGTACGTGATTAACCTTAATCACACTGATACGGTGGCAACAGAATGACAGTTGTCAGTTGTTGCACTGAGAATTTTCTGCCCCTGATTTGGGCAAGGCACTGCTGGGGTCAAACAAAGATGGAAAAACAACCTTAAACAACCGGGCTGGAAAACATCACATAAGTTCCCTAAGAGATGCACAATAAAGGGCTACAGATGTTCAGAGCTGGAGAAGCATCTAAGCAAGAGGCAGGAAGAAAGGGTGGCTGCCATCAGAATATTTCCACAGCACCTTCCACGTCTGTTCTTTGAATCAAGTGGGTCTTGGGTAATTCAAAATCATCCTTTAAATGCCACATAATAAAGGACACAGTGTGGAATATATTTTTAAATGTAATGAATGAATTGATGAATACAACAAATGCCCCCCAAATTAAAGGCTGTATATAACCTAACTTTAGGATCTGTTCTGTCTTTAAACCCACTATTTGGGGGAAATCATACAAGGGCAGTTCAAGAAATGCGAAAGCATTAAGACCGATTTCAGTTCAACCATCAGAAGAAACTTCTGCTGTGCTCCCAGGAAAACATCACAAGTGAAAACCTCATATTCATTCATAAACCAAAAGTGCCATCTCCTCTCTCCTTGTTTCTCTCATTCTTTCTTTTAGTTGGACGAGTACCTATCACCATTTGATGTTTAAAACATCAGCGACACCACTGCCAGAAAGGTTAAAGTGACTGACACATTTCAAAATGCAAATTCAGAATTGATAGGTTTGAACTTGTTCAGAAGAGGAACACTTTAGACTCTGTCTTGCCTATAGCTATGACTTTGGTAATAAAATTATGAATTTCAAGGTTAAGCGTGCTCACATGTGCCCAAAGATGCAGAGACAATATTTTTCCATAAGGGTCTGTAACCTACACTAAAACCACCTCCAGAGCCTTACGCAGCAAGGACTAGGACACTATTACAGAAAGCTGTAGGGTTAGGAGAAAAGCAAACAGCACCACAAACGGTTAATCTTAGGAATAAGCCTAGGAGGCAAACAAAAAAATTATGTTCAAGAATGTAAAGAACCACAGAAAAATAAATTGAACTATCCGATGTTTCTATTTGGTTGACAAAAGAGCTTACTGACTGCTAATCTATGTACAAAAACAATTTCTTTCTTCAAATTTATAAGCATAATCTTGACATAGTCAAAGAAATTGCTGCCCTGTGTGGTATAAACTAAAAAGGAACTCTTACCACTTATGTTTGGCGAGTTCTGTCCAAAAGGAGCAGACATGTATTTTAGAATGAAGCCATGAAGCAGCCATGCAGAAGACCATGCTAAAATGACCAAGAAACACTTCAACGCATCCTCAAATTTTCTTACCATTTTTTCTTCCTTGGCAGGTGGACTTCGAAGAAAAAAGCAGAGAGGAGCAAAAAGAATATCAATTATTCCAATAATTGTCATGAGCCACGGAAATCCAATTGCCTTTGCAATAGCTCCACCAGCGGAAGGACCTTTCAGGAAACAGAGAATTAGATAAAGTTCTCTGTAAAAATGTCTTGTACCCAGAACGATGCAAAGGTTTAAATAATTTTCAGTAGGCATTATCTATCATGCACTGAGATCAAAGGTTGTTTGGAAAAGCCAGTGACCTTACCTATAGCATATCCCATACAAAATGCCACATCTGCAATGGCGTACACACTCCCGTAGACGGACACGTGCCGCAGGTCGACCAGGTAGCCCATGATGGGCATCATTGACGAATCCACCATACCTGTGGACAGTCAGGGAACACAGTCTATAGAAAACTGATGGAAACCAAAAATGGGCTGAATGTCAGGACTGTGTCCTAACCTCACATCCCCTTCCCCTTTTGTCTTCACCACCTGCGATTCTTGAGGCCAGCTCCCTACAGCACACTGTTCGCTCAGGACCGACTGAAGGTAGCGGAGGCTGGGACTGGAACCCAGGCCACCATCTGCCTGTTCTCTGCCTTGCCTCATCTTGTCCTCCACTGTCTGGATGGCCCGTCTACTGGTGGAGGGCACCCAGTCCTCTGGTGATTCACCTGCATTCTTCAGGTCCAGTGGGTTGCTGGCTGCATGGCCCCCTCGCCTGCTTCCTTGCCCTCACAAGTGGGCATGCCCACATGCCTCGCCCAGTCGCCTCCCCATGCACACCTTGGCCTCACACTAGTAGGGAGGATCAGAAAGAACCAGAACATGAAGGCATCTGAGGGACCATCTGGCCCTCCTCGGGAAACTGAAATCGAAAGAAGTTTGCTCATTTGAGGGGGAAAAAAATAACAAATCCTACCACCACCACCACCACCACCAGACCAGTATTAGAATCTCTGGTCTCTTGGATAGTTGGGGACAGGAAGCATAAAGAAAAAGCACATGTTCCGAGTTCTGGGTTCCAATCCCTGGCTGAGCACGGTCACACCTTATCTCTCTGACCACTGGTTTCCTGTCTATCCAACAGAGATGGTAACGACCGGCTACAATGAGACAGCGTCTGTGAGCACTCAAATGGTACTTCCCTCACCTCCACCAGCACCAGGGCAAGAGGACAAGGGAAATCTGTTTCATTCTACTAGTATTTGCTGATCACCTAACATGACACAGGGTCATATGAACATAGGAATTGGACGTCAAGCAAAGGGTTGAAAAATGAATTACAATTGCGACTGATGCTACGAAGGTGCAGTGAGAGACCACGTATATACACCAAGGAAACATACCCTGGTCCCAAGGTCAGCAAAGGCCCTTCTTCCTTTCCTCCCTTCCTCCCTCCCTCCATCCATCCATCCCTCCATCCCTCCCTCCCTCTCTTCCCATGCAAAGATTAAACTCCTGCCTTTACCTTGGGATAAACTCAGCATTTACTTTTATCATGATCAATCTGTATGTTATACATGAGAAACAAACATATTCTATTCATCCAAAATATTAACAAGACTTTTCCTAACGTATTATAGTTCCTTACATTATAAAGATGTGTCTCCTTTGCCCGTGATAATTCCTGCAGCACAGGTGGTCTTTGAGACATAAGTCCACCTTTTCTGTCCCAAACCTTATAAAAACTACACGTGAAGCCTTTGTACCCCAGTCTCATCTGAGGTCTGTTCACAGATCTGAGCCCAAACAAAGTGCTCTGAGTGACGGATTCTCTTGTTTGCCCAAGCACGGCAGTGGAGCACCAGCTCGCTTCTGTAAATATCAGGCTTTTAAAAATACTGGTTTCGGGAAACAAATGACTAGTGCATGGAAGCAGGTATTTTTCTGTGGGCGATCTACTGGATAGATCAGCTGCCCACAGCCTCCTATCAAGCTTCTAGAAATTTTAGGTTGAGTAACTACGGTTTTCCCAAGTAACAGGAATTCTTAGTAGTGGGGAAAACAAAGTTTTAAATTTAGGCACAAGGCTCCTGTGACTTACCAATTGCAAAACCAACTCCGAAGTTGGGAGCTATGAGTCCATAAATGTTTTTTGCAAAAGGAACCTGTAAGAGGAAATAAACATTATACTATAATAACATGATCTCCAACTCTAAATCATCTTGGGAAGTCTTAAAAATAGGTTTTCTCCAGCCGGGTTTGCGTGTTCCCTTCTGAAGGAAACAGGAGAAAGGAGGACGCGGTTTGGGGAGTGCTGGACCCACCAAATCTTTAAAAGCTGAAGCTGAAATAGATTCTGGGACCACCACAAAAACCTGGTCAACTGCCAGATGTGAAACATCAGCCTAGTCCACACTCCATTTCTGACGAGGAACCAAGGGCCTTGTTTGGAGGAGATATTGGCCACTGGAAGAAGATGTTTTATTCTAGAAAAAGATCTTGCTATTGTTTAAGGGTAGTCATCCTAAAGAGTTGAAGATATTGTAATGTTTAAGATGATGGGAGGGAAAGTGAAGTGTGAAATATAAATTATGTAATAAAACATTCTAAATAGCTTCCAACTGACATAAGATGGAACTATATCCCTTGGAGACTCTTGTCCAAAATTTTTATGATAAAAAATTAGAAGACAATGGAAAATATAATAGAACCCAATATCAATAAACTTCAAACTGCTGTAAAATATTTCTTGGTGATTCTTGCCTAAAGCAAAAGTTTTATTTGCAGACTGTTTCCACTTGTTAAATGTCGTCTTTTACTCACACATAAAATGCTGACTCCAACAATTATCATTCCCAGAAGAGCACACAGCCACCTATCAAAAAACAAAAAAGCACCATCAATGAATGACTGTTCGTTTTTCTTCCCCCAGTCCAAATTTTCAATGGAAATCAAAACCATTACTTGTAATAGCTACGGTAAAAAGCCAGAGACATTTTTTTTAAGAACGGCATTATGATAACAGAGTGAGTGTTGTTTTCATTTCCTCTTACCTCCCCATTTTGTGTGCGAGGATCCCAAAAATATTGGTTCCAATGAGATAAGAGATACTGGCTGGCAAGAAAGCAACGCCTGTAAATTTATGAAACGGACATCGTATCAGTACTGATATCAGTCAAATGTTAGAAAAACTAATAATTGTAGACACCACCATGGTGATTAGAGGAGATGAAATGAAGCCCTGTGGCCTGCACCCAAGCAGCTAATATCCGGCGCCTGCTGGATCCTGACCGGACCCCACACGGCTCATCCGCCCGCACAAAGCTGCGGAGACACTCCAGAAATGAAATTCATTTCTCTATCAGCTGCTTCATCTCTGCCTGGTGGCGAGCTTTACACGTTGACCGATCCTGGCAGCTCTGGCCTGCAGGAACAGGGCACCTGCCCTTCCACACATGTGTGAGCAGGGGCAGCATCTGTGCCTGTCCTCTCCTCTTTGTTATTTTGTATGAAAAAAGTAAGACAACAGCCATGGGGGAAAATTAGGGAACATTAAGATAAGCACAAAGCAAAATGTTAAAAAAATTATATCAAACCCCATCACTCTAAGGATCACCAAAGATATCTTCCCTTGTAAGTTTATATGTACATAAATAAATGCGTGTGTGCAGGATTTTGTTTTTCCTAAAAAAATGGGATTATATCTACTGTTTACATCCTGCTTTAATCAATTAGCTTTATTAACATCTTTTCATGTCAAAAAAATAAATGCCTATGTGGTCATTTTCTGTGGCCAAGTCATAACGGGACTGAAATATTCCCATCTGGGGTTTAACACTCTTCCAGAAGAGGGACCTTGCAAGCCGGGTCACTTGGTGGTGGCAGTGGTTGCCCCTGACTGTACCCTCTGCTATGGACAAAAGGCCAGCACAAGTCAGACCCAGCCTGGATGCCAGGGGATTCGTCCAGAGCAGCTCTCTCTGATCCCCATCCATTATTAGAACAATAGGACAATCTCTTTCCAAAAAATGGCTTATCAAACTCTTAGTGTTCAAAACTCGAGTGTGTTTTTCTTGAAATCAGATATGCAAGATTTGATTCTAGCCTTGCCCACACATGGTGAAAATTGCTTGGCTGTCAATCACATGACTGAATATCAGACACGCATGGGAGATACTAGATGGTCAGCAGGTGTCCCCTGCACTCAAAATGCACAGGCCCCAGAGGCTCTTGTCCAGGCATCTCACCAGCACACAAACGGACACGTGTCATCTTGCTTCTTCCAGGACACACTAGCCTTGCCTCTCACTGCACCCCTCTAAGCTAATGCAAGTCATCAAACCTCCAGGAAGGTGGAGCCTCCCAGCACAGTGATTGGTCCTCGGAGCGTTCAGCAGGAGCAATGAGGTGTCACCTCGTGAGATTGTTCTGCTCTAACGTCAAATCTTATTTATGGTCTTTCTCCAGAAATGGTCGGGGAAGCATCAGGGCAGACTGTCTTCCCTTTTCACAATGGACTGGAAACAGCTCGCACAAGACCCTGGACAGGAGGGGGCTGAGCTGCTGGGGCCACGGGGCCAGCGCTGTGTCCCCTCTAGGCACTGGGTCCTCACCTCAGGAGAAGGGGCCTCGCACTGTGTCACCCAGGGTGCCCTTCTCACCAAGGCTCAGAGGGGCCTGAGAGGCCTTGTCAGAGGTGTGCCGCAAGCTACAGAGACCACATGGGGACGGTGTTTGCTCTCACACCGGAGATGACACCATAAACAGGTACAGAAAAGTGGTTCTATGGAAGAAACCCAAGTAAGTCTCTGAGGCAAGGGAGGCATGGTGTCACTGTTGGAAAGACGAACATCTGGCTTGCGTGATAAGCCCCACCAGAGGCTCTCCTGGAGAAATCCAGGTGGCCTGTGGCCTGCTATCTGGTCAGAATGGCCCAGGGCCTCTCACTGACTTCAAAGACTTTATAAAGAAAGCCTCAGGCTGTGTCTGGAGAGGAAGAGGACAAACAGCTTAAGTGCCCACACAAGGCCTGGACACATTCAATTAGAGTAATAAGTCAGTTAAGTGAAAACTTCAGAAACGTCAACAAAGCATCCCAGCCCTAGAGTGCTGCAAAGCAGGAGAGCCTCTCCCAGCCCTGCAGGCAAATGGAGGGCATCTCCTGAAAACCCCCGGAGGCCCACAGCACCACAGGGATCAGAAAGGGAGTCCAAAAAACAGCTTCCATAGCACCGGCAGCTACACTCCTGACCTTTGGCAAAAGCGCTATTCGAGAACTCAGGATGAGAAGAGGTCCATCCACCAGCAAAGTGGTACCCTCTCCTTAGGCGCTTGCAGAGTCTGCATTTCCTCTGTTGTCTCCACTGGCAGGAAGTTCAGAGCTAACTTTTCCAAGAACCAGCCTTAATGTAGCTCCAAGAGTCTTTCCTCCTTGACTGAATGACTCCTGTTGCTTGGGGCTTGAGTTTGCTTTTGTTTTGTGACATAATTCGAACCCCCTAAAACTCACCCTTTTAAAGTGTACAAGTCCGTGGTTTTCAGTATATTCACAGCGCTGTGCAACCATCGCCACTATTTAATTCCAAAATACTTTCGTCGCCCCAAAAGGAAACCTCACACCCATTAGCAGTTCCTCCCCATTCAAACCACCACCCCCCATTCCAGCCATTGGGAGCTTTATAATGGAGGATCATTTGATGAAAGAACACAGCAATTCAATGCACAACCCCAAAGGACTGGTGCCCAGGAGGGCCAAAGGCAGTGAGGTAGGAAGAACAGGGACCAATCTGAACCAGGAGACAGCGGCATCTGGTAAGACACCACCACAAAGGGCCGGATGCCTGAGGGAAAATAAGGTCCCCTGACAAATGCCTACTGAATTCAGAACTGAGACTCTCCATCTGAAGATAGCAGTATGTAAGTCAAAAGAACTATGGAAAAATAAACAATCTCTAGGAAGGATAATTGATAAATTCTTAAAGAAAAGAGTAGGTGTGCAGAGACAAGCCTTCCAGGCAGTAAACAGTATTCTAAAGCTACAGGAAGTAAATAGGAAGTTATGGACACAGGAATACAAGCAGATAAATGGACCCAAGAGATGATTCAGGAGGAGACCCAAGAACACACGTCATTTCGAGCAGGACAGAGATGGGAGAAATCAGACGGAGTACTAGGGGCAATGGTCCTGGGACAACTGACTGGCCACCCAGAAAACAGCCACACCAGAGCCCTATCACACGCCTTATACTAAACCTAATTCCATGTAAATCCAAGATTTAAAAAACACATCATGTATTTACTAGAGGAAAACATGGATGAAAAAATAATCTTGGCATGGGAAAAAGAAAGGCCTTTCTGTGCTTGACTTGAAATGACAATGACATAAAGAGGAAGCCTGTTAAATCTGACTAATGGTATTTAAAATGTTCTAAGTGCATAAAAAAACAAAAAACACCAACCATCTATAGTCAAAAGACATACGAGACAAAGCAAGGTCAGTATGTGTGAAACATCTGATAAAGGATTAATATCTTAATATATAAAGAACACCTAAAATCAATAAGGACAAACAACTCCATAGGAAAAAAACAGGCAAAGCATATTAATAAGAAATTCATAGCAAAAGAAAGAGATATGGCTAATAATCATGAAAAGATGATCAATTTCATTCATAAAGAACTTGTAAAAATAAATCAACATGGTAAATCACACACTCCATTGGGAAAAACTGAAAGACGGATCATACCTATGTTGGTACAATGCTACCAAATATCAAAATGCCCGTTTAACTTTTAGGAACTTGCCCTATAGACATGAACAGGAATACACGTACAGGATATTTCACTGCAGTATGGTTTCTAAGGACAAAAACAGGAACTAACCCAAATGTCCAATAATAGGGACTGGTTGAAAATTTATGGTATAACCTTAAAATAGAACAATATGCTGTCATTGAAATGAAAGATGGGCTTCCAGTTAAACAGGGCACATTTAATCTATAGGCTTTTTCCCTCCATTCCCACTCCGAATTCCATTTAAATTCTATTCAAGGAATAAAAGCAAACTATAGACCCTCCCCCTTGATGCCCAAGGACAGACAAAATGAGAAAGGAGAAACAGCACTAAAAGGGAGGCACTAGCAGAGGTAGTGCAGTGACAGGCACGACCGAGAACGCTGGAACCTTCCACCTGCACAAAAAACAGCCAACAACGAGCAAGACCTTCTGTGCCGCTGATCGTAGCAAGTTCAGGAACTGAAGGCTCCAGGTACTGTGACTGTAAGGCTGAGGGCTGAGGCTGGCAACAGGAAAGAGGGTAGAAAGGCTCTTTTAGGAGTAGTTGCCCCCCCAGCCCTCAATCTCTCACCCTGGCAAGAGACAGAAACTGAACTGAAAAGGCTCAGGCCCCTAGGCAGCATGGAGACCAGGGAGAATGCAAAGTGAATGTAAGTCGTCCTACTAAACAAACGGTAAAAGGATGTTATTTCAACAACCCCCACTCCCCAGCCACACACACACACACACACACACACAACCACTCAGGATAAATATAAAAGGGCTCTTCAAATTCAAGATACATTGATACCAGTTATAAAAATTTAACAGTTTAGAAAATGAAGAAATGAATGGAAATAAGAAGTTAAAAGGATAAAAGGTGTTTACTATAACTAGTCCAGTTCGGAAACATGGGAAGATGCTGACTGTATTTTTTCCTCTCTTATTTCTGCCCAGGTCTGATGTCTCTATACAAATCCCGCATCCATCAAGGATGCTGCAGAATCGGGAGCCAAAACAGACCCCAAAGCTCACTAGTGCCCTAAGCATCGACCCCATTAAGTGTCAAACAGAAACAGTCCCTTTATCATCCTGGCACCTGCGGCTCAGCAGGGCTACAAGCACAACACCCGCCCTCGGGACCAACGTTCTAGAATCGGAAGAGCCAGCCCCAGTCCTTACCCAGCTGCCACTTGGGGGAACACATGGTCTCCATCATCCAGATGGGTAAGGCGGGCTCCAGCATGGCGATCCCCATGTTTGCAAAGCAGATGGACCCTGTTAAGGGAGCAAGAGGGTTAGTGTGTTTCTGTTGGGGGGGTCTCGAGTGTTGACACTCTACTGTTTCCAAACACAAGTAAACCCTACGTGCCCACAGCCAGAACAATCAGCTTGGAAACCCAGAACTTCTGCTTTTTTAAGGAAAAGATAAATAACGGATCAAGGGGATAGTGAGGAGGGTGGGGGGGTGGGTTGGTTGATTGACTTATTATCATCATTATTTTAAACAACAAGAATCCAACAAGAATGAAGTTTGGAACCGGAGGGAACCTTAGAGATCATTTGGTTTACCCTTCCTGATTTATTAACAAACAAAGGGAGTTCCAATTTATTAATGAAGTAACTTGCTTGAGGCCACCCAGCAGCACAGGCCACTTCCAGACCACACACAGACGGGGCCACCTGAGGCTCCTTAGTAAAAGCTAAGTTTTACTGTGCAATAAACACACACGTTTCTAAGGATGTCCCCCAGTCTACTGCATTCAGTACAGATGTGCTGCTGTGGGATTTTTTTAAAAATCGACTATGCATATGGGTTATCTCTGCAAATATCCATTATCACTCTGTTAACCAGAGCCCTTTGTAAATGCAGAATAATCTGGAAAAAGACACACAGAACTGTTCCCATCGTTCTGGGAGCTTCCTGAACTGTGCCCTGTGGAAGCTCTAATTTGCTAAAACTTCAATTCAAAGAACATCGTGTAATCATGATTAAGGTGTTGCCATAATGAAGAAAGATCTTTTCATTCTTGGTGACATTTAAAGGCAGAACACAGAAATTATGTTGAATTGACTGGACTCTGCTCGCCCACCTATTTTGTGTCTTCTTAGATTCTGCACTTGTCTGTTTCACATATATTAATTATGGGGCCAAATTAACTATATATTCATCTCCCCTGCATCCAAAGCCCATACTGTGAACCCTCCTTATCTCTGAGACACCAAACCAATATCCCCCTGCCCGAAGTCCATTCAGGGCAAGTACCAGGCAACCAGGACAGCCCCGAGGCCCAAAAGGCTGCCGGGATTATTTAAACCAGTCAACACTAAGCTGTTTAACCTGCCCTGCCTTGCACTTCCTATGGAAACTCCAGTAAAGGCTCTGACCTAGGCCTCCCCGGTCCCCTCTGCCTCCTAACCAAACCTGGTGCTTCCCCGCATGGCCCTGAGTGACATGGAGTGCCCCCTTTACTTGGGAAACATAAGTGATGAAATCTTCTTTCAATGATATTGACCTCTCCATGTCATTACGGAGTCACCTCCATAAATTAAAACCCCACCCGTACAAATGTGACACCACCTGGCTCCCAAGTCCCCAGTCAGAGCTGCCTGGACCTGCTGATAGCCTGACATCCAGGGCTGGGTGGATCTCTGTCTCCCTCCCTGAGTAGGGGTGAGACAGTGAGGGTCAAAGAAAGGCAGAGGCAGGAGGGGTTCCAGCTGCACAGCCCGCCCAGGTGTCTGCCCCTAGGTGCCGGGAGTCCCACCTCTGGGACCCACCTCTCACCACATAGCTCATCCCCGCCAAGGACCGCCAGGACTCCAGGGGCATCCGGGCTCTGGGATGCTCCCTGCATCTTGCCAGGGGCCCAGGGAGGTTCCCTGCGTGAAGAGGTCACCACACCAGGATTACAACCCTTTGGCCAGTGGGCATGACAGACAGGACCTAGACCAGGGTGACATAGGTGCCACCCTGACCAAACCCAGCAGCAGAAAACTTAAACAAAATCAGCCTGGGGTTGTGCAAAAGACTGAATTTGAATGCTCTCAGGCAAGGCATGTGCCCAGTTCACCCCCCACCCCCACCCCCAGCTTCCTAGTGTTTATGACCCCTGCTTAGGCAAACCTAACCCTAACTGGAGAAAGCCCTGGCTGGGTTTGATGCCACCTCAGGACTGGCCTCTCCTGGCCTAACCCTGGCGGCCTCTGCAGATCACAATATCCAGGCCCAGGTGACTTTAAGGCTGGTCCCCTGTTAGGCAGCCCCAGGCCTGTGCCACTGGTGTTGGGGGGACAGTCCCTTGGCTGAATGCAGTCATTATCACAGCCCCAAAGAACCCAGGCCTTCCATTGAGCTCATCCAGGCCAAGAACCCAAAGGCATGATCTTCTTTAGCCAAGGGGTGTTTTCCAACCCGGCCTCTGCTGCTGTACAGGATCCCTCTCTGCAGGAAGGCAGGGTCCTCTTGGCCCTCCAGGCTCTGCTGTTGGTGTCTATTTATACATGCCAAAGTGAATCAGACCCCCATCTAAGATGCCTGCAGTGAGGCCACCGGCCAGTGACGGCCTTTGACACAAACACAGCGAGCAAGCTTGGCCCAAAGCAAACCTCTGTGGCAGGTCATCGCCGTGACCCAGACATCTTTGCCCCGAATGAAAAACAACACAGCAACTTGGCTGAGTGTCAGAAATTAATGACGGAAGAAAACCATTTTTTTGTGACGTAAAACCTCTTTGTGCCTTTTACGCTTTTCTACAACCCAATGTTTCCAGCAGCAAAATGAACACTGGTTCTTGCCACCCACCCCACAGCCCTGGGCTGAGAAGAATCAGGAGGACTGAGGGAGCCCCACCTGCGGCAATGAGGATGTAGGGGTCCTTCAGCAGGGTGGCTAACGGGGTCCCTTTCTGGCTCTGTCAAGAGAAAGCAGGGGTTAGATGAGTTGACGTGGCCACCGCAGAGCCTGCCTCTCTCTGGAGCTTACCTCTGGCTGCACCCGGGATGGCTGGAGCACAAACAGCTGAATAGCTATGAGAGAAAAACAAAAGGCATGGCCCCGAGCACCTGCCAACACAGATGCCAAGGTCACGACCAAGACACCCACATGGACTCACCTCCATCCAAGAGCACCAGGGCAGCCAGCACCAGGAACGGAGCAGTCTTCCCCACAAACTCGTAGAATACACTCCCAAATGGGGGGCCCACTGCAAGAAAGAGAAACAGGGGCATGCCAGGCCCTGGGACCAATGTCCCCTACCCCCACCCCACTAGGCCCACCCATTTGTTTCTTGTTGTAAAAATTATTTGAGGTGCCCCACACGCACACCTCCCACGGTCTATTTGGTAGTGTTAAGTTATCCTGGCAACTTCCTCCATGCAATTTTACATCTGACACATGGGTAGGAGACTCTCAGGGTCACCCCCAAAGTAAAGATCAGAGAGAAACAAGACCCAGGCTACAGAGCTGCCCTGCTGAGGGAGCACAGGAAAAATGTGTCAGTGAGGACTTCACTCCTTAGAAAACCAGCACAGACAGGGCCTGCAGGCTCCCAAAGGAAAGTCGGGCCTGTAACAGAGAAGGGACAGAACCCGGATCTCTGCCTGGGGAAGATGCTTGCCCCTGGTCTGGGAGGTCAGCCAGGGAGGTGCAAAGCCAGACTCAGAAGGTGGGAAGGTCCCTCCGATGCGCTGCGAAGGATCTTGGCAGGGCATCCCAGCAAGCTTTCATTTTACATCTGGGCCGAGAGACTCGGAGGTCCCCCATCGAGTTAGGGGGTTAGAGGCAGGGGAAACCCAGATGCACTCAGGTCAGGAAGGTCCCACCGTTTTTCAAAGGCTCCATGAAAGTAGGGAATAAAAAGGGGGACAGCTGGGGAGCCTGTCAGCGTGAATGTGGACTCAGGGAAGACTGCCACTGTCCAGTGCCACACAGGCTCCTAGTTCTCCTCCTGGGGGACCTTACCCACCTAAGACCCCCATGGCCAGGCCTCCCAGAGCAATCCCCATGGCGTTGCCTCTCTCTTCGTCGTCTGTGTACACACTGGCGAGCATGCCCATCCCTAAACAGGAAAAGAAACGGTCCACAGCCAAGCTCTGGGACATGCCTTCCTTCCCCAACCCGCAAGTGTGATCTTCCCTAACCCGTCAGATTAAACGAAAATAGAAGACCAAGCAGAATCCAACAAGGAAGGAGGCAAGTACCTTCTCTGAGAACCCACCACCAACTACCAGCAACCACCAATACTTTGATTCCCTAAATTATCCAGCTAATTATGTGAGGGGCCGGCCAGCCGGGGCAATGCTGGTGGCCACTTCAACAGGCTGAAGCCCTACCACCCAAGGCACTGACTTAGGCATTTTCATACCTACCAGCTACAGAGGAGCAGGAGGACCCGACGCCCTGTAGCGACCTGGCGATCAGCAGGAAGGCGTAACTGCTGGAAAAGGCGAACACTGCCAAGAGAACAGGCCAAGCCCACACATCAGCGCAGGCCGCCTGACACTGGACCAAACTGCCTCAAACCACGGTGTTTCTGAAGCCCTCCCTTAACCCGATGGTGTATTTCCATATTAACCACATTGTGCTTTTGCCCCCATGAAGGCCTCTATTGACTCCTTTCTGCAGTTTTGCCAATGCCCCATCCCCTACCCCCATGTGGCCGGTGTGTTCTCAGTTCCGGGTTCGTGGCCGTCAGAGCCCATCCCATGACCCACACTCAAAAGGCAAACGTCAGACACTTACTAATCGTTGAGATAAACATGATGCAGAATCCCGCAAACATTGGAATTGGATAGCCAATTCTGCAAAACAAAACCACAAGGAAAACCTGGTGACTGCTTTGTATTTTTTTAAGGCTTTATACTGAGTCTCTCCTGCTTACCCTTTGGGATCAGGCAGATAAGTGTCGGTTCAACTGTGCTAAAAATTCAGAGTCAGTTCTTCCTACGTGACCTTTTTGTGTTTGACGGTCTTCGAATGTGAATGTTTATAAATTGCCACTGTGAACAGAAATTTCTCTGGGAGAAATGTTAAAACAACATTGGCAAGTAAACCAGAACACGTCCAAAATGTACAGCCCCTGTTTCCATCATTTTATGATTATTTCTTTAATTACGGTCTTTGCTAGAGCTTTGCCAAAGGGACAATTGCGATCGAATGATTCTAGTAAAAGGTCACCAAGTGCTTCGGCTGGCAGCAGAGACAACTGCACTAAATCTAAGAGGCATTAAGAAGCAAGAAGGTTTTCAAGTCTGTCTTCATGTTGACCCCCATGGGCCAGCCTAGAAAGACAGGCCTTGATTTCTGTTCAAAAATTCAACATCCTAATTGCTCCGTAAGACCACTGTTCATTACGGGGCTCTGCCACCAGGCAGACAGGGATGGTGGGAAGAACCTTGGCCTTTCTGTAGCTCCCCCCTGGCTGGACACCCAGCCCTGCCACTTAACCCAGGCAAGTCTCCCCTCAGCCCTTCAGAGAGCCAGCCCCCCACTGCCCCTCCCAGACCTGGGGTGAGTATAAATGAGACGTGGCTGTTACCCTGCCACCAGAGCACCTGGGACATAGAAGGTGCTTCAGAAATGCCGTGTCCTCCCTCCTTTCTTTCCTCCTTTCCTTTATTTCTGCCGGTTAAGCAGCCAACTTGGTCTCTGCCGTATGGATGGTCTCTGTGTCCTGAAAGGGGGGCCAACACTGGCTGAGCCACTGCTCTCTGGGAGGTTTGCGTCAACCCTGAACAGCCCTGAGCATCTCTAGGCCTCGTCTCCCTCTAGCCCTAGATTCTCTGGATCCTGGGGAGGAACCAAAGGAGAACCAAGAAGTCCCAAGTCCCAGTCACTCAGCCTGGAAGGGCTCTTCTATTCCAGGCTTAAATAAAAAATCATAATAATACGTTCATTGAACAGTTACACTCAATTTTTCAAGCACTTACACCCATTCGCTCAATAATTTGATAAAGGCAGACAATCACCTCCCCCTTTCACAGATGAGGAAACTGAGGCACGAAAAAGTGCCCTTCACTTTCAACACTGGCCAAGCTGCTGATGGGCCTCCCTGTGGAAAGTGCTGGCAGCGCCTTTCCCCAGAGCTCAGCCCAAAGGCCAAGACAACAGCTCCTGGATCTCCACCCTCCACCTCTACTGGGCCCCTGAGCACACACCTCAGAAGAAGGGTCACCCAGGGCGCCAGGGTCGCTGAGAGACGGACAGATATCCAGTGCCCTTTCTCCTTCCCACCATATCTCCTCAATGGACAGAACCTCAACTGCCATTAGTCATAAATGTCTGAGTCGGCCGCTTGTCTCAATTCAATGCCATCTCAATTGAAGTACTGCTAAGCAGAGTGAGACCTGATGTGGCAAACCTGTAACCAAATATCCCATTATCATCCCCTGGTGAGTCATCCCAGCCCACAGTCATCCTCCACAGAGCATCAGGGAGCAGTTAATCTGATTGGAATAACACTAAAAACCACATACTAAACCCCTACAAAAAAAGTGCAAATCAGTGAAAGTTATGGTCATCATACTATATATATATATATATATATATATACCTACAGATCAGTGGACAAACGCCGTATGTCCCTAACTCATCATTGATAATCAATGCTTTTTCGCTAATGCTGCTAACTAGTTTATCTTTGTCATAGAGGATATGCAAGTTCCACTGTCAGGCTTGCTAAGGCCTCTGTTCCCTCTGTTCGAATAAGGGACAAAAGCAAAGACACAGAGTAGGGCACAAACTATTAATATCACCAGAAGAGACAAGAGGTGACGTCTCCCTTTTCAATTATTCCAGCACACTCCTAAAAGGTAGTACAATAAGCAAACGTCACTAAGTTGCAATGGTATTTTAAATTTGTAGGATATACTGGGAGGTTTATTGCCAATCACTTTGTAAATAAAACCCGGGTTAGCCCATAGAGCTGTCTTTTTCAGCTATTAGATATGCGCAGGGAGTTCCACACGTGAGTCATGGATTTCTTACTCTCCTGGGCACTCCCCCATCCCACAGCTCAAGCAGGGGTTTTGCTCCCAAGAGAAACGCCCAATTCCGCAGCCAATTTCTTCTTATTTCAGAAGCGAGGGCTCCGTCACACCACCCCAACGACATCTCTGATGGGGGCCCCCTTTCCAGAACAGCTGGTTTCCCTGTCCACGGGGAAGCTGAAAAGGTCACTGCTTATTCCTACAAAGCCCACTTCAGACAGCTGGCTGAAGCTAGAGGGGGAAAAAAAACCACCACGGTAGATTTCGTAGAGATTTCATGCCCTGTGGCGTCTTCCTCGTCGTTTGGATGTTAGCTACAATTTGGGAGGAAAAATAACTGGCTTTCAAATATACTAGGTAACTATGGAAATAAATTAAGCCACTGTCACTGGCTTGATAAAAAGCAGACCACTGAGACAATGGCAAGCTAAGGAGGAGGGCCAGGGAGCTGCCCCGGCACCGGCGTTAACCCTTTCCCTCACTGCCCAGTTCGTTTCGATTATCATTTGGTTTTAAAGAGGCAGCTACATAAGTCTTACGCTAAGCAAGTGAAGACCACAATGCCACGTCTTATCCGCACTTGTGGACAGAGACATCTAAAGGTGTCTTCACACTGTGTACCTGCCTGGAACACTCCTTTTATGTGTGCGCATGTCTAAAATTCACTCGCTGAACCAAACAGTAACAGGTGTTGCTAGCATAATTCCTTCTACACCCTTTCACACACAATGCAATCAAGAAATGAAAGTTAAAGTGGAATTTATAAGTCACATGAGCCTCAAAGACAGAAATCAAGTCAACCAAAGCACCCACAGGTGTTGGAAAGTGGGTTCGTGGATATGTGATCACTACACTTGCCAAAACCAATGGTCCTTTGCTCCCTAACTGGTCACATATTTTTTGGTAAAAATAGAGTATGGAAAGAGTTACGTGAAAGAGGAATTACTTGTATTCTATTAGTGGCCAGCTGAACACTTACAGGCTTCCCAAGAACTGTAATTTTTTATCATCAGGTTTGGCATCCATCTTCTCCAATATTTAAAACAACAGTCCGGGAGCTTGCCTCCTGTATCACCCACCCACAAAAGCCACTCACGCGGCAGCATCATGACCATGAATATGGGGGGTCCCACTTGCAGTATGGGAGATCAGGTTGTGACGTGTGTGACGGGGGGTGTCTCATTTCCGAGTGGGTCCCACTTACATCAAGAGGCTTTGGAAAGGAGTGGTTCCGAGCAGCCCATCTTTGGGGATGCAGGGGACCCTCCTTTCCGCACTGTCAGAAGCACGGCAGAGATGCCAGGAAGCTGGACCACCTTACATCAGGGGCTGGGAACAGATAGTATTTTTTAAGGACAAGGAGTTGAAGGAAGGTCCATGTGCCCCCAAAACGGGCTGATTTTTTCTAAACTCCCTGCCCATTGATTAAAAATAGCAATCAACAACTCACTGTTTGGGCCTTGACTAGTTCCGCCTGGTACAACCAGAGAGAGCCCAAGTATATGCAAGAAAGACAGATTTTGACCTGCATTATTGATTTCTAGAAGCCAAGCATACAAACTGTGTAAGAAGCAGATGGAAAGAATGGGAAGGGAGGAAGACACCCAGAAACAGAGATCTAGCACTGCCGTGGTCAAATGCTGTTTCCCCATGGACAGCAAACTCTTTTGCCCATAAAATCCTAGGACTGGCCCAAAAACCTTTGCTAAAATCTCTTCAAGCTCTGATGCTCCATGTTTATAACCACTCTTTACGCAGAAACATATTAACCAGCTGTAAAACGCTGCTGTAAACACACTGTTTACAACCCTGAAAACGTGAATCACACATCTCGTTGGTAATTGAGGATGTGATTGGCACAAATTACATCAAGGGCTATTTGCAATGGCTTACATGGGAAAAGACTCTGTGAAGGAAACTGTAATGCATTTATCCCTTCCCTGAGCAGAGCTATGGAGTGTCCAGAAATGCTGCAAGTCCCCAGGTTCGTGTCTACCAGGCTTGGAAAAATTCCAGAAAAAATTACACATCGCAATTATTTTTGGAGAAACAACAGAGTTCACTCAATTGTTCTGCCTATAGCAATGTTAAAATTTGTTTGCATTTCCACATTACAAGGCAGCACTAAAATACAAAGATTAATTTGAAATTTGCTGGGTAGCTGAGGGAACCAATTAGAGTTTAAATTTTTTCTCTAGATAAGTTCATCATCAGAATGGACTAAATTTCACAGGTCACAAAACTCAGTTTCTCTTGGAAGACAATTTTTTTTTCAGAGCCCCAAACAGGAGACTTGGAGGCTGCAATGTCAAAGCATTCGGAATATTTAATAGAGGAACGGTCTTACTTGTAGTAAACACACTTCTTTCAAGTGGAGTAAACAAAGCATTAAAAACAAGAATGGATTTTTAAAGAGCTTTTCATTTTCCATTTGCCTTTGGAAGATTGGAATACTCACATCATTTCAGCCGAGTTGCTAAGTATCACACTATACAGCTAGTAACATTCACACCCAAGTGACCGGCAAGACATTATTATAATAACGTCCTCAATTTTCCCACATAGCATTTGAGCTGTTTTTGGTAATTATACCAGATGCATTTTAAGAAGTGCTCTTAGTCTTGAAAAAGGGAATAAAACCACCCTGCAACTATTGAGGACTGTTTGGTTTTCCTCCTGAAGTACAGAGGAGCCCTTGAATGTCACCTTGCGAATAGTGCTTTTCGGTGGGCTCTCAGGCCATCATCGCTGGGTTAGTTTGCTTAGCATATTTTACTTGGCAGCTTCAAAACATTGCTCCACACAGACTGGACGGCTGGACGTGGCTTAGGATTGTTCAAATGGACTCAATTGCACTACTCAGTCCAGAAAAACAAATAACAAAAGTTTCAAGGTACTTCTGTCTGACTCGCCATTGGTACAATACCAGCAACCTCCGTGTGTCCTGGGGCAGCTCACGCTGCGGGAAGGCAAGTCACTGTTCCCTCTGTGAGCCCCTGCCACCACCCCAGGCCTCGTCTCTCATTGTCCCCCATCTCTCTAGAGCTGGCCCCACTCTGAGAAGGGCCCCAGGCTGGGTTTAATGCTATTGCTGCCACCTTGAAATGTTTAATATTTGAACAAAAGGCCCTGCTGGTTCTGCCCTCACTTCCCTGGGCCCAAGAGCCCCACAACAAAACCCCACTCCTTTCTCAGCCTAGCATTTGGGGCCTCTTATAGTCTCCCCAGTCCCCCAACACCCCCCCCCGCCCTGCCCTTAGTTCACCCCACCCCCCTCCTGTGTTTGCTTTTCTGTCTCTAGTCTTTGTCTTTGTTCAGGTTTCTACAATAGGTCTGCTTCTCAGGTAGGTTTCTGGGCACTCCCCTCTGCCTTTTTTTTGCATTGCTGCCTTTGGGGCTACACTGTTTATCTGGCACCCCACCACCACCACTCACATTATACCTGTTCCCCCTCCTTGCAGCTAAGGCCTCCTCCCCTTACTGCAAGGCACATCCTATGCTTTGAGCCCCCGTGTACCAGGCCGAGCTGGGGCCCCTCAGCTGTAGAACAAATACTTGCTGGAAGGCACCAACAAGGGAGACGTAAACAATTACTTAAAATAATGCGGGTCCAAAAAAATCCAGCACATCCAGGTTAACAAATCAGATTCGGGCATTATTGGGGGGCATTATTCACTAGTGTGAATTATCCAGAAAACAGCCTCAGTTCTCTCCCCTGTGTGTACATGGACACAGCTCAGTAACTGGCAGGGAGAGGAACTGTTCCACTGCCCATGACCTTGGCGCCAGCTAAGACTCTCATCTCTGCGGCAGGATGGCCCATCTTGTACCACATCCCCCACCTGGCCATCTACCACACCGGCTCTAAAGAAACCACTTCGGCTTCCTATGAGCAAGCGCCTGGCCAGAGGTGGAAGACAAGAAAGCTGCATGGTCCACAGAATCCGCTTATGAAATCCGGCATCTAGTCAGAGTCAAAGTCCTCCCACTTGGGGAGGGCCTCTTTATCCTGTTTTAATAGTGTCTTCCTTTTTAAGCAGCAGAGGTAGCAATGAAAAGGCAGAACAAATGGGAAATCGTGATTAACTGTGGACAGAAACACAAGGGGAAGGGATTGGATGTTTCCCCAGCTCACCCACCGCTGGTTCCCAGATTCTGATGAATGAATGAGAAACCGAATTCTGGGGGAAATGAGTTTGGAACAATATAAAATTCTCTGGCCAAAATGACACAGCCTACCTGTTGGTCAACAACCCTACGAAGGGGTTGGTGAGGAGCTGGACAGTGGCTTTGGAGGCAAACAACAGGCCAACCTGCACGTTTTCATTCAGGAGGTCTTTGTCTTCACTGGGACAGTCGGGAGCGACCCGGGACGTGTCAGTCACCATGTGCCGTGTGGTGGCCTTAGGCAGCGGCTGCCCCTGAAGGTCTCTGGTGTTGTTCCCGGTGACCATGGTGGAGTTATCATAATAGGAGAAGATGCTCTGGAAGCTGCCTGAAGTGGAGGCTGTGAGCGCCGGCGTGGCAGTCTGGGTTTCCGTCACGTTTTTCTCATGCTCAATGCTGTACAAGTAACTTGGGATAATGGGAACTGGGGACACGAGCAGAATAGGAAAGTGGTGATTACCCGGAAACCCTCCCTGGGACAAATGCCAAACAAGACACAGGGAGGTGGTATGTCTACCCCAGGGGTGGGACCCCTGCACCAACACTGGAACAATTTCACACTGTTTAGCTCCCTGGAGAGAACAAAGCCCCAGGAGGCTGACTTCTGGGTGCTCTCAGGGCCAGTTACTGCACAGAACTGGCCAGCCCCAGAGCATCCTGTCCTTTGTGGAGGTTTCCATTACTGGGTTCCTACATAGGACTATTTTCAGGAAAGCGAAATGTGGTCTGAAGTTAAGTCAGTGCCTCCTTGGGGTCAAACAGGGTTTCTCAGAAAGAGGCTCAAAAGACCTTTAAATGAATGAATCAAGGAAACAGAAACCTAAATTTCATTATGTGTCTTAGAAAAAAATAAACCTGCAGGAAATAATAATCTGGAAATTTTGCAAGAGGCCCACTTCATCTCATTATTTCTTGAGTGGGAATCTGCAATTTTTCAAGCTACCTGAAGACATAAAAATTTCTGAGACTTTCATAAAGGAAAAGAGAACCTGTTTGATGTGATAGAAGCTTTGGGCATATGTGCAACAACAGACCATTCAATACAAATGAGAAGTGAGGCCCTTGTTATTGAACTCAGAAGAGCCTCAACTCTGATAATCCTCCCAGTAAAAAGTTGACTATCTGATGCTCTGAAAAGTGTCTCCAGAGAACCTACAAATGGACAGGTGGGAAATAACCTACCCCTGAGAGTCCAAATAAAAAATCTCTTTTGTATTCTTTAAAAATTTAGATATTTTTAAGGGAAAGCATGACAAACACTTTGCTGTTGATAGGATTCATTAAGAGATCTGAGTGTCAATTATTTAGTTTTTCCAAAACCCATTATAGGAAAAAAGCTAAAACCAACACTGTTCAAACTGCTCTTGAAATGTTTCCATCTCGAGTCATTTACTGATACAATATATGGAAATGTCACTTCCTTTTTTTGGAGGGAGGGATGTTAACTTGTTTCTTTGACGTTACATCAAATTATTAACCCTCTTTTTTGGGTAGCATAATTTTTATAGCATTACTTTGAACTCTGGGAATTGCTAGTCCTGAATAGAAATCTTTTTCACTGCGGTGAAAATGCGAGGGATGGGGGGGAGGGGGGGGGGAGAAATTATGAAATTATCGGGAGGAAACACAAGCTCTGGGTTTTATCGGATGTCACATTTTTGACCTGACCACCAGGAAAACAAAGCCACAAACGTGGCTCCCACTAGCCCAGACGCGGCAGTCTGGGGGCGGGGCGGGGGGCAGCGTGCTTTTGCGAAGCGCGTTCTCTCAAGTTGCCCGGGCCGCGCGGAGCTCCGGGGCCGCGCGCGGGTCAGTGAGCGCCCGGGGCAGAGGCGCCCGAGGCGGCGCCCGAGTCTGGACGTACCCACCACGGTGAGCAGCATGTTGTCCAGCAGCAGCGCGAGGAAGACGATGAACAGGATGAGTCTCCGGGAGTGACGGCTCGCCAGCAGCCAGCGGAGCAGCGCCAAGTCGCTCAGGGCCATGGCTTGGGGCTCCGCTGCGGGCGCGGCAGGAGGTGAGCTCAGGCCGTCGCGGGTCAGGGGCTCCCCCACCCGCAATGCTCAGACTTCCCGGGCCGCGGCGGAGGCGGCGTGGGAGGGACCTTGGCGTCCCACCTGCGTCGCACCTGCGGCGAGGCCGCTCGCCCGCACCTCTGCTCCTCACTGACAACGCCCGCGAGCGCGTCGCGCCCCACACCTGCGGCCCGCGGGGTGCCGTCGCGCTCTCGGCGGCCCCCGAAGGTCCCGCTCCCACCACCGCGCTCTCAGACAACTCCGGGGACCCCGCGCCCCGTGCGCCCTGCGCCCCGGCTGCGCCCCGCCGCCCCAGCCCCTCGCGCGGCGCCTCGGGGGGCTCGGCTGCCCTCCGCCCGGCCGCGCTCCTCCGCGCTCGGCCCCGCGCCCCGGCGCCGAGCTCTGCGGGCGGGGAGCGGGGTCGGTGTTACCTCGGGGTCGCGGCGGGGGCTGCCTGTCCTGGCCGCTGTGGGCTCCGTCCGTCCGGGCGGCTCAGCGTCGCCGTCTCCGCCCCAGCCACCTGCCGCCGTCGCCGCCGCGGCTCGCTTTAGTGGGTCCGGCTCTGACGTCACGGCCGGCGCGGAGCGGGGGCGGGGGGCTGGGGTGCGCGAGGGGCGGACGCCTCGCCTCTGCCCCCGCCCAGACCCGCGCTGCCCTGCCCGGCTCTGTGTCCCCACCCCGAGGCCACCGGGTCCCAAGCCGCCGGGAGCACCTGCCCCTTGTCCGCCCCTGTACGCGGCCCAGTGCTCTGAGAGCCCGGGCCCGGGTGAAGCAGCTGGGGTGCAGAGGGAAGAAACCGGGGGCCCCAAGGGGCGGGGTCAAGGGTTCCTGGGTGAAGGGTCCGGAGCTGAGGTGGGAAGTCCGCGATGAGCGCCTTCATCTGGCCCCAAGAAGGTGCTAGAGCTGCCCTTTGTCCCTCATGGTCTCATGAAATTGGCAGAGAGGGCAAGAAGGGTAACTGCCAGGAAAGGGGTCGCGGGCTGTTGGGAGCCAGGGGCAGGTCTGTTTGCTGGAGAAGCCACTCGGCACCCCGCCACCCCTCCCTTCTCCCACCTCTGGAGCCTGAGGCAGGTGCCACTTGCAGTCTTTGAGCCTCAGGTTGTTGGGTACCCTTAAGCTGGTGATGTGGAAGGAGAGAGAAAAGGGGACTGGATGATCGGATAAAGAAGAGGTGGTTCATATATATAAAGGCGTGTTCCTCAGCCATAGAAAAGGTGAAATACTGCCACCTGCGACATGGGTGGGTCTTGACAGTATCATGAAGGTGAAATAAGTCAGATGGAAAAGGACAAGAACCCTATGATTTCACGCATGTGTGGGCTATAAAACAGACCACAACCAAAAAAAAAAAATAGTGGTTACCAGAGGGGACAGGGTTGGGGGAGGATGAAGAGGGGAAAGGGGGTTGAATATATGGTGAGGGAAAAAGACTAGACTTTGGGTGGTGAGCCCACAATGGAAAATGCAGATGATGTATGATAAAGTTGTATACCTGAAACTTCTAGAATGTTATTAACCAATGTTACCCCAACTCATTTAATTTAAAAAAAAAAGAAAAAGGGAAGCGAGAGAGGGAGAGAGAGAGAGATGAGAGATGAGAGATGGTTGACAGGCAGAGTGCTTGTTGGGGGCTGAGCTGGAGCTGTAATCTTACTAACAGGTAAGCGTACACTTGTGACATCCAAGTCCCTCCATTTTATAAACCAGAGAAACAGACAGACATCCCCCTGACATAGTTGGAGCTTTGGAGGCCCTTGTAGGGGGCGGGGGAACAGGAGCTATTTTCTTGGAAAGCCACTTAGAATAAATGTTACCCTGCCGTGGTCTCTTAGCAGTGGAGTCTAGCCTTGTTTTATTAATGTTGGCTTGTTGTCAGCTGCAGACCGCCTGGAGCAGCAGGGTGAGTGTGCTGCTCCGACTCTCTTCCACCTCCTTACTTCCTTCCAGACACCCCCGTGTTTCCCATTGCTGCCAGTAACATGGGGACTCCAGGACGTCCCAGGACGTGTGTAACTTAAATATTAAATAGGGAGGAGAGAAGGAAAACCACTTAGGAGAGACTAGATGGTGGGAGCTGTTTAAGATGGCTGTCAAGGGTATCACATTTATGAGTGTCCCAAAGTGCCTGGGGTTTCAGAACCCAAACACACAGGGCCTGCCCCCACATTTCCTGGTGCAGAGAGGCATCATGGTTAAGGGATCTGGTCAGGATGCCCGGGCCCTGTCTGCTACTTCCTTGTCAGTGACCTTGGGCAGGTTATGTATCCTCTCCATGCCTTAGTTTCCCCCTCTCTGAAGTGGGGCTCCATTGGACCCATTGCAGAGTTGTTTTAATGATTCAGTGGGAATGCACAGGCAACCCTTAGAGAGTGAGAGCTCAGTAAGCGTCTGCCATTCGTTCATCCAACAAATATTTGTTGAGTGCTTACTAGGTGCCAGGCACTATGGCTGATTCTAGGGAGACAGTAATGGCCCAAACAGACGAAATCCCTGTCTTTGAGGTGCTTACACATTCTGCTAGCAACCCATAGTGAACACAAGACACCACACTGCCTCCAGCCCAGCCAGCCGGAGGAAGATGGCACCAGGGAAAATGCCAATTCCTGTGCTCTCTCCTCCTGACCTCTGTCACCATCCCTAGGGCACCATGGTCTACAATAGGCTCTTTAAACACCCCCTAAAAAAATGTTCTTTTAAATATGTATGCCTCACACATTTTTAAGTTAGCATCTAAAATGGTTTTTTAAATCATAAATTTAAATAGTTTGGGGTATATTGTATATATTGACCTTTATATATAAAACCATTATAACTCTCTTTTAAGTGTACCCAATAGACTATCAATATGATAAAAATGCAAAATTACTATATTATACTTAAAAATATGAACAAGTTTCCCTTTCATAGTAAAAAACTTTATTGTTTCCTTTATGTCTTCAAAGTATATTTGAATTCCTCTTCCAATAGTATTTTATCCAACTGTAATGTTTTTATCATTTAAATTCTTCATTCATCACCTTATCTATTGTATGAACTTCAACAAATATATGAACATGCATTCCCGTTTTTAAATGTTTCTTATGGTCGTAAAGCTGTAAATTTTAAAATTTCCTTTATGATTGTACTCTTATAACAATTATTAGTAGTATATAAATGATAAAGGTATCATATATAATATGAATTTTGATAATTATTAAACACAAAAATATAATTAAATAATTACCTAATACAAAAAGAAAAATTGAATTAGAAGTGTATTATTATAGTTAATGAGATGGATGGGGGAGAGGGTTTTTAGAGCCTTGATAAAAGAGACACCAATATTGTCTGTGGATGCTTTTATGCCTCAGGACAATGTAACACAATATGATGGTAAAAGCCAGGTCAGGTGAGAGGTGAGATTTTCCTTTGTCCAGTGGGAGACAGGAGATTGTTGAAAGTGGAGATAATAAAGGAGCATCCTCATATCTCCACCTAGGTCCATCTCAGCCAGATCAATTTAAAATGGAGTACATATGGAAGTTGAGAGTCCCCAGAGGCTTGGGAAGTCTTCGTATATACCCAGTGTGTTCCAGGCTAACTAGCCTGTCTGGGAGGCCCTGCCTGGTCTGAGTCTTTGGGACCCCACAGCTTCCTCTTAACCCACTCAGCCCCTCCTTCCTTCCCCAGCCACACTGGTTCTTCTCAATGTTTCTCTGCCTCTGGGTCTTTACACATTCTAGTCCCTCTGCCTGGGAAGTTCTTCCTCTTTTTCTCCTAGTTATCTCCTTCTCATTCTTTGTTACTAGCATGAATGTCACTTCTTGGGGGAAAGCGTCTTTTCATGGACCCCATTCCCAGCATCAGACAGGTCCCTCTCTCATAAACCCTCATGGAACCGTCACGTCCCCCCAGAGCATGTCTGTCCATGAGGAACAATAGTCCCTCCTCAGTGTGATCAGTTATCTCTTGTCTCCCAAGGTATCGGGACTGGGGACGCTCTTCTTACTCACTCATCCCTGAGATTCCAGGGCACAGTCAGCTTTCATTAAACACCTGCGAAGAGGATGTGCACGGGGCAGGCAGGGCTTCCTTCTGATGTAGAGCTGTGGGAACCAGGGAGAAAAGCACCTTAGCTCGAGCACCTTACGTTCCTGTCTCTCTCTCCCCCACCGGAAGCCCCCCTCCCAGAAAAGGCTTGGAGAAAGCAACCTAGTGAACACATTAATTTGTTCTCCCCTGGAACTCAGACTGGTGAGCTCAGCCATCCGGCCCCTTCTGCCTCCACCCGCTCCTGCCCTTTTCAGACACGAGGTACCAAGGTGGACTTTTTTCACTTAATTTCAATATTTAGGAATGATGAGGCAAGGAGATGCCTGGAACATAGCAGCTCTTCGAAAAAGGCATTATTTGCGATAAACTAACATGAATTTAAGCTATAGATAACATCGTGGCTGGGTCACTTTTACGAGGTATGTGACGTTGGGTGTGTTACTAAACCTTTATGTGCCTTGGCTTCTCATCTGTCATTCGAGCATGGCAAGAGGCCCCCTCACAGAGTTTTTGTGGGGATTGAGGAGGAATGATCCTTGCAGAATGCCTGGCGCATAGCAGGTGCGCACACTCATTTAGTGTCCCCTGGCTTTGGGACAGTGAAAGTGCTGAGCACATGGAAGGTGTAGGTGATCCGTGGAGAAAATCCTCAGGTGCTCTGCCCACCAGGGAACATGGAAATAAGGAAAATAAGTATGTCCTCTGGGTATTAAGCTATGACATGCAAATGAAGGGTCAGAGCAGAAGTTAACAAAAACAAAGGCATCTTGAAGAGACACAGTGGCTCCTAGGCTAGCAAAACTGGATATACTAGTTAACACATGGGTAGGTAAAGAGGGTAAATGCCCGGTGGAGAGCTGGGCACAGGGTGGAACAGGCAGTTTGTAGAAGGGGAAGCCCAGCTGGCTACCGAGCTCATGAAGAGACAGACACTCTGGCAATCAGAGACAGTGAGAGACAGTGCTACGTTATAGCAGCAGTTAGGAAGTTGGGTAGATGCCATTTGTTGGTGAAGCTGTGAGGAAATTGGGACCCTTTCCTTGGTGCTGGAGCGGGGGCTGTGCAGCCTTTCTGGAGAGCAGTCAGGAGTGCTCGGTGGAACTATGTCAGCCTGCACCCTCTGACCCAGCAATCTCTCTCCCTGTCTGTGTCTCAGGGAAATCCCTGCTCGGGTCCTAAGGGAAGAAGGAGAAGGATAGTTAGTCATTGCAATGTTGCCTGCATCCGAGGGGAGTTGGAGGCAACCTCCGCTTCCATCACTAGCGAATAAATAAGTGAAATGTGGAGGGGCACCATGTAGCCGTTAGAAGGACGACTGGATTACCCACATGTCTGCGCATAGATATCACCAAGCCATGAGTGGGGAAGTAGGAGAGAGGGGAGCCTGGTCTGCTGAACGATTCCACGTCGGATCGTTGGAAGCACACAGAGCACCGTGCTTATTCAAGGGTAAATATTCACACACCTGAGTGGATGCCTTT